GAAAAAGGGGAAATAAATCAAGAAAATGGTAATTAGGAGATAGAAATTTCCTAAAAAGTACCAAACTTGTGGCACAAAAAATAATAAGTAATTGTTGGATTTTGGACTTGAAATTTGGCAGGCTAATATATCTCATTTTTAACTTTAAAACAAGTCATAATTTGTTAAATTTGGAGTTGTGTGCTAAGAGTTATGCCCTTTCAAAATTGGGCAAAAATACTGAAAATTCAAAAATTTACCAAATGAACAATATATTTTGACGAATTTTCTAGAATTATTCTGGATGGGATTGGTCCTAATGATTATTTTTTTTCTTCATAGAACTCTTAGCAAGCTTCGTTTGAAAATTAAAACCACTTCGTTTTGATTTTTCTAAATTTAGTTATGAATTTTCAAAATTGACCCATTTTCATATGAACAGTGTACGGACAGGATGAACAGTAAAATCTTGAATTACAAATTTTTCATCCGGCAATGTTACGAAACGACTTATATTGGTTTCAATTGACATATAATGGGTTATAAAGAGAGGTGTGATACTACACACCTCCAATGCCCCGAGTCGAGTAGCCTTGGTTGCCTCTTACTTTCTAGGAGCCTTTCAATTGATGGATTTGCGACTTGATACGGCCATTTTACTATTTTAGTAGATTCGGATAGGGATCAAAACTGGAAGTTAGAAATTTAGAGAAAATAGAAGATTTCAAAGAAAGCACTAGCTAAGTTGGACCTGGCTTCTCACTGCCAAGTCCCACCTATTGCAATCCTTTATCCAAAATACATTTTGGGTGCAAAATGAGGGGGTGACCCCTTTTTTTTTGTATTTTAAAATATATTTAGTAGCATCTAATATCTTAAAATAATTTTTGAAACAATTAACACAAATATTTTTTAGAAGCACCTTGCATCTTAAAGTAATTTTTATACGCTCACTATCCTAAAATATTTTTTTAGTCGCATTTAGTATCCTATAATAACCTTTGATACACTCAACACCCTAAAATAAATTTTTGTATGCTTAGCAAGCTAGAACGTTTCTTTCAGGAGTGCCTTGTATGGTTAAAAAAAACAAAAACTCAGCATCCTAAAATATTTTTAAGTAGCACCTAGTATCCTACAATAATTTTTAGTATGCTTAATGGTACATCCATCACACTAGAATATTTTTTTAGTAGTATCCAGTATCCCACAATAACTTTTGCTACACCTAGCATCATAGAATATTTTTTTAGTAATATCCAATATCATAAAGTAGCTCCTCAAAAATATTTTTGAAGTAGCTCATAGTGTCGTAGATTTAGAATGCACAGTGTCCTAGATTTAGAATGCTTGTTGCTACTAAGAAATATATATTTTAGGATATTAGATGTTACTAAAAAAATATTCTAGGGTGCTGAGTGTAACAAAAATTACTCTAGGATACAAGGTGCTTCTAAAAAAATTTTTAGTATGCTAAATGTATCAAAAAATTATTTTAAGATACTGAATACTACTAAAAAATACTCTAAAATACCCACACACACAATCAACCCCTCATTTTACACCCAAAAGGCTAGTGTTTTGGGTAGAGGAGGGCAATGAATGGACCTAACAGTGGAGAGAAGCCAGGTCCCAATCGGACAAGGTTTTTTTGGGTAGGCACAAATGCTTTTTTATTGAATGCAATCTTATTCGAGTCACTGTCAGGTATTAAATATGAACATAGGAGAGAGTTTGAATCTTTGTTCATTACAATACCGAACACTACCTTTTTTGTAGATCCAATCCCTATTGATCGGATAGGACAAGTTGAGGGTGATGAAGAAGTGAACGTTGGGTTGGGTCTTGGCAAAATAAGCTAATGAGTTGCCGTGTTGGACACTCGTGGGAAATAGGGCTAGGTTTCAGCTTTGCACAGGGTACTAGTTCCACACTCTTTTGTCTGGGAGAAAAGAAATCTTCTTTGTTTTTTTTTGAAACAGAAAACAAACGTATCTGCTGCACATGGAACAAGGCGCTAGATATTTTAATTTGTTTTCAAGAATATGTATTACTTTTCCTGTTTAATAGGATATTTTAAATTTTATTTTTATGAAAATATTTTTATAACAAATATACATTTTATACCAAATATAGTATTTTTATTTTAATTATCAAAGGATTGTAAGAATAAATATTTTTAATATTTTTGTATTTTATTATTATCAATTAAATTATATTATTTTAATATAGCTAGTTTGACTCTAAGTAAATCTCGGTCTAACACTAATTCTTGAGCTATTGTCTCAACTAGTTTAGTTTATGATTTTTTTTCTTTTGTAGCTTGCTTTTTTCATAATAATATAGCAAAACATAAATAAAAATATTATTTATATGTAAAAGAAAAACATAGAGAAGAAGAACAAAGAATATTTTATGATTTCCACTCTATCTATATGCCTTTCACGTTATGATACGTGTATATTATTTATACTTATAATTACAATTATTTGAGTTAGCACTCATTTATTGACTTCGTATGTTAAGATTTTGGCAGTGGTTAATTGGTTATTTTCAACTTACAACTTTGTAATTTTTATATTATTCCGGTTCTAAATATAAGAGCTAATTAGATATTTAATTTAATCATAAATATAAGATTTCAATTTACTCTATCTTTGATAGTTATTCTTTTTTCTCATAGTAACCCCTATAATGATCACACGTTAAAGGATTTTCATTCTAATGCACATGATTAACAATAATTACAAATAATTAATTTAACTAATTTTTTTAATATTTACAAATTAATTATCTAGTTGTTATATTAAGTACGGGAGTTAATACATCCCAAGTGGTGATAGAAAATATATCTAGATGTTGATTCTTGTGTGGATTGTTAATTTTTTACAGTTTAAAATTTATTTTTTATTTTTAACTTGCATGTTGTAAATTTTTCTAAGAAAATTTACTTTGAATGTAGATATCATAATGTTTGTACTTCGTAACTACGATGAATATTTATGCTAGGGAAATAACAAATTAATTTTTTTAAAATAAAAATTATAGGGTCCTTTCTATATATTATGATAATCTAAATATAATCACCCCAAATATTAATTATATTTAAATTGAAAACATAAATTATTATTAATTTTAGAATTTTTTATTTATTTTTATTGATAATATATTCTACATATTGTTATTAATTTTACCCTAAAAACATTAAATTAATAACTTCACATCAACTTATTCTTAATATAAGAGTTAGTTAAATTAAAGATTCAATTTTGTGTTAAATATAAGACCCCAATTCACTTAAAAAGTCCCCACAATAATTTCACATCACAATATCAAATAGTAGTTTTAATGCATATAATTAACAAGGATATTTTGGAGAAAATAATACCCATTTATTGCAAATAACTATTTTAAGTAATTTTCTTAATACCTGTAAATTAGTTATCTGGTTCTCATATGGTACAACATTGGCCTTATATTTGGTTATTTAATTTTCTAAAATTATTATAACACACCCAGGAAAAACAAGATAGAGTAACACATTAAAGGTTCCTAATCTACAAATATCCAGAACATGACCAGCTCTTGGGTGCCTAGGTAAACGCCTGAGGGTAATTGACGGCTCACCTTGCCCAACATTGTTATGACCTAGGAGGAAAGGAGATTTCGCCCTGCCCTTGGATCGTGGGTAAACCCAACCCCTTTTCAAAAATTTCATGAATAAAAAAAAAAGAAAAAAGAATCGCGTGATAATCTAAGCTATTGGGTGGTTAACCAAATAAATTTAAATTAATTAAATTTTGCAAAATCGAATATGTTAAGAAACGAGAAGATATGTAAGCAATATCTATTTATAAATTTATTATTTCATACAAAAATATAAATTAAAATATATGTTTTATTTAATTATCATATTAACTTATGTTCTTACTAATTTGCAACTAATAAAAGTGATTCTAATAACAACTATCTAAATATTTTCAGTTTATTAAAATCACTTTTTTTCCCACAAAATCTATTCTCAAAATAATTGCTTTCCTCTGGAAGCTATTCTCTCCAAACTATATTTTGGTTTCCCCCAAACACCCTGTAAGAGCTACTTGACTAATTTGAATAGATTAAAAAAATTAGTTAAATTTATTATTTGTAATAAATCTGTGTTGTCTTCCTTAAAACATTCTTGCTTGTTATATGTATTAGTTAGAATTACCACTTAATAAAATATTTAATATGTGCAACTAGTACAAAAGTTACCTTGGGAAAAAATGTACAAATATAAGAGATAAAGTGAATAAGATTCTTATATTTAGGATCAAACTGAATGTTAAACTGGTTTTTATATTAATAATCAGAGTTTGTATAGCTATATTATTACTGCTACGGTGGCCAATAAATTAACTTATAGCCTTGGCTCATAGGTTTTAAATAAGAATAGAAGTTTTTCTTAGATAATATTCAGGCTCCTTTTTTCATTTGTACAAAAAACAGAGTAGTTTATTTTATATGCATCTTTTATCTTATGTGTACATTTAACTTTTTTAAAAAGTCATGTATAAGTCATCCTTACTTTAAGTCATTTTATTTAGCTTTAAATAATGTTGTTTTACTTTATGTCTAGTCAATTTTAGCTTTATGTCACGCCTTACTTTACAATTTAATGTATGTTTTTGAAAATACATTTTCTTGTTTTTGACAAAAGAATCAAGTTTAAAATTACAATCACCTCTTTCTTAGCGCGCATTTCTATCATAACTTAAGAATGTGTTTCTCAAAACACTACAAATCATCCCTGTTACAGACACACACAAACACGCATTTATTTAAGCTTGACGAAGACTAAAATGAAAAACAAAATCTTCTGAGGTAGGAAAGTAAGAATAGGAGACAAATATCAATGATATAATAACTATCTGTAATCCGTAATATATCAAACGCTGCATCATTTGTTCAGTCCTTCATGCATAAGGCATGCATGTACAAATCTGCCTTCAAAACTTAAATCTCATACATACACATATATATCACAGAAAATCCATGTGTAGCACCTTCTTAATCAAGAAAGAACACCCTCCTTGCCATTTAGGAGTATTGTGAAGATCCACATCATACAGGTCTTCTTCTTCCTCACTCTTCTTTGGGTATATCGCCGGAGAAGATGGTGCTGAAAAATAAGCCGGCGATGACAATGAGAACGAAGAAGAAGAAGTAGATGATGATGATGAAGGATGTGAAGGAAGAGGAGGCTGTTTCCCGGTGGCTCGCCTAACGAGAAAAGTTCGCAGAATATTATTAGGGTTAGAAGAAGAGCTTTTCTTATTGGGCTTGTTGCTTTTCTTGGACTTATTAGAAGTTTTGTTGTTGTAGTAGTAAGAAGGAGGAGGAGTGAGAGGAGGAAGAGAAGGATCTCTAGATTTGAACTTAGGAGTACCTGGTTCAGATTCCCATTCAAAAGGCACAGAAGCAGCTTTGTCTCCATGATAATAAGCTTCCATAATGGACATATTAGACAATTCCCTCCTCACTAATTTCTCAGGGAAAATCATTAAAGATGATGAAGAAGAAGGTCTTGAGGGACTTGTCATATTTTCCTCTATGCTAATTTGCTAGCAACATCTAGATCTTCACAATATAAAGCTGAGATATATTTATATTAGCAAGAAGAAATGTTCAAAGGGTTTTGGTAAATGGAACGACTCGATCGGTTTCAAGACCTACTAATGGACAATATTAGGTTGTCGGTGAATATGAATAATATATTTTTTAAAACTTGGGATTTCACTTTCTATTGGAGCTTTTGGATCGTTGAAATAAGGGAAACGAAGTCAACGTAAGCACACGCTAGTGGGACAATGTTTTGGTTGTTATTTAATGTATATTTAGTTGTTAGAGATAGTAATATAATTAGTTTCTAGACACAATGCAAGTCGGCATTTTTTGTTTATATGATATTCAATTTAATGATGATATAAGGAATGTTCATAATATTAGTGACATGCAAGCAAGTACGGAGATTGGGAATGGGTCATATATATTACTCGACTTGATTCCTTTTCTCCAAACCCAATTAACTAATTTAGAGAGATTAAAGAAGTTACTAAGTTATTTAATAATAGCATATGCTATATGAGCTTTCTAAAATAATTATGTAAATTATTAGATTATATATCAATTTATAAGTGAGACAAATTAGTTTTAAAAAAATGATAAATATAAATAAGTTAAAGTAATTTAGTAATTTTTTAATTTATTCAATTGATCAATTGGATCTTATATTAAGGACGGAAGATAATAAATATGCACTGGTCAACATTAGGCTTCTCCGTCATGCTGAAAAGAATAAAGGTAGAGTTGGGTAAATTTGTCAACGACACATGTTTAGGAAAGTATGGCCTTTTTTACTGAACATATCGTGTGTGTGTGTGTCTTTAAATATATGAGAGAGAGTACGAACGCATGTTTTTATTATTTTAATTTTAAATTTAAATCTAGAAAGGATGCTTTTAGTTTAATCTACTGAAGATTAAATTTGTACGCACAGAAAGATCTTTAGAGAAACTGTAATAATGAAAATTGAAACACCGCTCTTTGATCAATGATTTGAAGTTATAGTGACACAACCAAAGACCGATTGAAATGGATATGACTTAAGTTAGTAACAAATTTATGGATATATATATATATATAGAAGAAAGCCTTAAACAAGTGAAGAAATATTCAATTTTTTTTTGAGCGAAAAGCAAATATTCAAAGGGAAAATTGGTGATAAATCCCCCATTGAAAATTTAATTGGGAAATGGGACCTAAGGATTTTGTGTAGCTTAACTTCTTTGTGTCCAACTTATCTTTTCTTGTGTGCAATAATTTTCCTTTGTGTGATGTGCCACTCAATTTCTCTTTGTGCAAATGAAATTTTTTTTATATGCAAGTCATCTTCTCTATGTGCAAACTAATTTCTTATATCCAAATAATATTTGTGCAAACTATCTTCCCTTCGTGCAAGTTATCATCCTTTGTGTGCAACTAGTCTTCCCTTGTGCAATCAATCATCCTAGGTTCCATTTGCCAATTAAAATTTTAATGATGGATTTATTCCTAATTTTCCCATATTCACATGTAAATAATTCCCAAGGGGGTGAGTAATCAAAAGGTTGTAAAGCAAATAAAGATGCCATAATATAACAGAAGAATTGGTTATTATTAAGAAATCTCAAAAAGAAGAAGAAAAACAAAAGACACAATTGAGATTAAAACTGAATTCATTCTGTTTTTTATTCAAATAACATCCTTAGAAAAATTATCTCCATTTAAAATTCAGTTTTGGTAATAATGCCTGAATTTTATTACATAGTATTAACTACATATATAGAAGAAGAAAATTCAATGAAGACATAATTAGAAAATGTAATATAGTTTCAAGGGAAATTAAGTAATATCCAGAAGTCTAAAATATTTTTTTTCAAAAGTACTCAATATAAATTCAAGTCTTTGATTTTTTTTTTTTTTAGTGATGGAATTTGTGACGAATTAAAATTTTGTCACTATTTTTTAATTTTTTGTAGTGAACGAATAAGGGATCAAAAGTGTGATTTAGAAGAGACAAGGTGGGACTGTTTGGTTCTATTAATTATTTTAAGTAAATTAACCAAAAGCTGCCCTGCCAAAAGGCTCACATGGAATATAATTTATGATTATACCATCAAGCTTTACAGTTAGAGAAAATTGTAATAAAAGACCTTGAAAATTATGAAATTGCAATCTGAGTTCTAGAACTAACAACAGCAAAAAACTGAGTCCTAAATATGAATTATGAAATGTTGCCTAAAAGATAAAAAAAGCCTTTTTGTGAATTTGAAAAAAAAGCTTGAAATAGAAAATTACAAATATGAAATAAAAAATTACAAGTCGATAATAAGAAATTATAAGTTTAGAATAGAAAATTACAAATTTGAAATAAAGAATCAAGAGTCTGTAATAGAAAATAATAAGTTTGAAATAGTAAATTGCAAGCTTGAAATAAGGATTTCATGTCTATAATGGGAAATAACAAATCTAAAATAGAAAATTACAAATCTGTAATAAAAAAATGACAAGTCTAAAATATGGATTTACATGTCTACAGTAGAAAATAATAAGTTTGAAATAGGAAATCACAAATCTAAAATAGAAAATTACAAGTCTATAATAGAAAATAACAAGTCTAAAATAAGAAGTAACAAGCCTAAAATAAGGAATTACAAGTCTGTAATAGAAAATAACAAGTTTCAAATAAGAAATTATAAGTATGAAATAGGAAATTACAAGTATGCAATAAGAAATAATAAGTTTGAAATAGAAAATTACAAGTGAAGAATAGATAATTACAAATTTGAAATAGGAAATTACATGTTTAAAATAGGAATTCAATTTATATAGTCTCTTGCTCTAATTCATGTCAGTAAATCATAAATATAGTTATTGAAACCATTAAGATACTACAACTCGTAAAATTCATGCCTATTTTCACAGCCATATCATACTCATGACTCCTAGCACTTTTTAATAGGTGGAAAGCCTCATGAACCATGAAATGTTATCCTAGATAAGACGTCCGGGGACAAAGGCACGTTGTTGTTCAAAAATAATCTTAGGCATAATTGACCTCATCCGATTAGCAATTATCTTAGAAACAACTTTGTAACAAAAATTGCAAAGGCCAATAGGTCTAAAGTGGGATACAAATTCAGGAGAGTCAATTTTTGAGATTAAAACTAGATTAGTGTGATTTAAAGCACACATGTCCAGCTCATGAGTATCACTGAAAAAGCCCTTGGCCATATAATAGAGAGAAGGGCCCATGGTTTTCCAAGAGTGCAGGTAGAAGAGTCCAAGAAAGCCATTAGGGTCTGGAGCCTTGAGTTTGCCAAGCTCAAACACTGCGACTCTTATCTCTCATCCGATATAGGAAGAATTAGCATTTGGTTATCTCGCTCAACCACTAGGCTCAATGTAACCCAACAAAGCAAAAATCCTTATTGCTTGAACCGGTGAATAAATCATGGTAAAATTGATAAAACAATCCTCTATTTCTTTCATATCATTAGTCTAGATATCAAGGGAATCTTTTAACCGAACCACTCTATTCCTTGCTTTATGTTGCCTGGTGACATTATGAAACTTAGTATTAATATCCCCAACCGTAAGCCAATTAAGCCCTGAGCGTTGATACCAATATTGTTCTTCCTTTACCCAAATTACCTCTATTTGATCAATAATAACCTTAGCCTCCTCAACCCTCTCAGTCATTCGGATACCTTCATAACAATCTTTAAGACTCATCATCGAAATAACAGGTTCTTTATGATTATTGGGGAATTCTTTTTTACTCCACTCTTTCAAAACCTCACGAATCCTATCAAGGCTTCTAGTAAAACTTTGGACGACATTATCCTCCAACAATTCTCTATTATCCTAGTAAGTAGACAACAACGAATCAGAATCTGTATATTCAACCCAAAACATCTCAAATTTAAAATCTCTAGGACATTTAACACTAAAGAAAGAAGGATAAATCAAGAGAGGAGAGTGATCAAAGCCTATAGATTCAAGATTACAGACCTATACAGAAGGACAAACTTCATGCCAAGATTTATTGGAAACAACCCTATCCAAGTGCTCCTTTACATTTTACTCCAATAAACGCTCATTTGACAAGGTATCTTGCATTCCTTTGCATCCCAAATCCATCATGTTGCAACAAGTCATAAAGCATTGAAAGTTGTCAAAATAAGACATTAATCTAGCCACACCACCTTTTTTTCTTAAAATCAAAGAGCAGATCATTAAATTCTCTAAAACAAAGCCATGGGTGAGTCACCCCCTCGTTGAGCTAAGTTAGCTTTCTACACCAGGCCCTTCTACCCTGATCATTCAGGGCTCTATAAACCAATGAGATAAATCCCACTACTGGCTCCATTCCTCCAACAACTCTTACGTGAATCAAGTTCTTTTCTGCCAATAAAATTTGCAATTTGATCCCTCCTACCACCAAACAACCAAACCTCTACTTAATCTAACTAAAAAAACATATTGCATATTACTAAACTTCAGCCCACGTCTCAACTGATCAAACTTCTTAAAGTTAACTTTGGTTTCTAAAAGGAAAACCAAAGTAGGTCTATACTTAGTACACATGAATTGGAGATTCCTGCCAAACATAAGAGACCCCAACCCCTTATAGCTCCATCCTAAAAGATTCATGGCCTTTAGCAGCAAATTCAAAAGTTTTTGAAATTGAAGCTAGCAAATCAAACTTCTAACCAAAACAAACTTCCTTCACAGACACCTTTACAATTTTATTAAGTTGTATCTACCCCTTGTAACTCTAGTGCCTATGCTTAGCCCTTCTTATTTTCTCAAAACACTTGGCCTCTGCTTCCACAACATACTCCTCATCAACACTTGCTTTGATTTTCTTGGCTTAAGAAAAATCCCAATCATCTCCCATCTTCCTTTTTAGGGAAGC